TCTCTCCACTCACCTCTCTATATAACTACTCATTCTAATGTCATATCATAGAAATTGAGAATGAGAAGATAAAAGTTGAAAATGAAATTAATGAAATGTGTCAAAGTGTCGTCCCATCAAGCAAATCTCCAACAATTGAGTAAGAAATACATTTAATTAAGTACATTCATAATATGTACATGTAGCAATAGCATTTTATAGCCATTCTTGTCCCTATAAATCTAAAATTAAAGTTTTAATGGACTGTAACTTAAAAAGTTAAGTTCAGAATCAGCTCAAACTTTCTACATAGCATAAAAGCATATGTTTTAGAAAATGTAATAAAAATTTGGGGTAAATTTGAAGCCATATTTTGGAAAAAACTATGGGCTATAGCCTTGGGTACTTTTCAAAATTTTGGCATTTTATTAAAATGGCCATGCATAACTTGAAAAATTGAAGTTGGAATCAGCTCAAACTTTCTACACAGCATAAGGATGTCAATATGTATCATAAAATGTAATAAAAATTTGGTTTAATTTTGGAGCCATTTTTTTGAAAAAACCATGGGCTATACTGTATGTGTTTTAATTTTCAAGGGTTCAAAATTTCGTATTTTCAAATGAAATTTGTTCAAATGTTAATATTTGTTTGAGCTAATTTTCGTGTTCTGGCCATAGTCTACATACATTAGAATGGCATTAGAGGTGGTTTAAATTTCGTGGATATAAGGTGAGGACGAAAATAATGAAATTTATTACACCTCGAAAATTAAGACGTGCACAGTAGCCTTGGGTATTTTTCAGAATTTTGACATTTTCTTAAAATGGCCATAACTTGAAAAATTGAAGCCAGAATCGACTCAAACTTTCTACACAGCATCAGGACATTAATATGTATCAGAAAATGTAATAAAAATTTGGGTTGATTTTGGAGCCATTTTTTGGTAAAAACTATGGGCTATTATAGCCTTGGGTATTTTTCAAAAATTAGCTGTTTTTAAAAATTGGCCGTAACTTGAAAAATTGAAGTCGGAATCAGCTTAAACTTTCTACACAGCATAAGGACATCAATATGTATAAGAAAATGTAATAAATATTCGGGTTAACTTCGGAGCCATTTTTTGGAAAAAATCATAGGCTATAGCCTTGAGTATTTTTTAAAATTTTGGCATTTTTATAAAATGGCCGTAACTTGAAAAATTGAAGTCGGAATCAGTTCAAACTTTGTACACGGTATAAGAACATCAATATATATCAGAAATTGTAAGAAAAATTTGAGGTGATTTTGGAGCCATTTTTTGGAAAAAACCATGGGCTATAGTACATGGTTAATACTATAATTATTATTATTATTATTTATTTATTTATAAATGCTCAGGAAACTGTTGAAGAGCTTACAGAGAGTCTAAGAGAAGAGAAACAATTATTAAAGACTTTAATGGAAAGAAATAAAGACAAATAGTGTATCAAGTAAGTGTATGTATACACACACATCATTATGATCCACTAGTAGCTTTATATCTTATAATGTATGGAATTGTAATACAGCAACTTTAAAATAATAATTTTAGTCATTTTGGCCTTGCCAGTGATTAGTGTAGGCCAAGGATATGTACATGTTGTTACTTTGTTTTTAATTAAATTATTTTATTTATTTATTTTTTATTTTATTATTATAGATAGTAGTTTAAACTTCAAAAGAAGAGTCTACCAGTTCATTTCAATGAATACTCAACAGTTGATAATGTACAAGGATGTATCCTCTTAACATACCATGTACATGTACATCAATATGTATCAGTATAACATTGGAGTGATTTCAGAGCCAAAATAAAATCCCTAATTTTACAGTTGCATATACAGTATAGCGAGAAAGTTTGGAG